TTATTTGAGTAGTAAAACATTTACTTGATTTCAAAGTCAAAATTACATAACAAATTATATTAAAAGATGTCTTACTTCTATCTCACCTGATCTCTTATATTTAATAGGTCATTGTTTCCGTCAGCCTTTGTCCTCCCAGTGTTTCTTCTTGCAGAAGAGCATATGTATGTGTGTATCTCCCTTTTCTACTTTCTTTACACAGAAGGTTGTATGCTATAGTATAATTTTAAAAAATTAAGTTAGCTTTATTCAGGTGTAATTTACACTCAGTAAAATCCACCAACTTCACATGTACAATGTGAGTTTTGACAGATCATGTATGGTTGTATGGCCACCAATACAACAAAGATATAGACCATTTCCATCACCCAAAAACTTTGTTCCTCCTCTTGTAGCCGGGCCTTCTCCCCCACCCGCTGGCCCCTGGCAGGCCCCTGTCTGCCCTCTGTCACTGCAATGCTGCCTTCCCTAGAATCTCACACATGAGTCCTCTTTTCAGTGTCTCTATGTGACTTCTTTCATTCAGTACATTACTTTAGAGAGTCAACCACATAGTTTATTTTATTGGTAAATAGCCCTCCATTGTTTATACATTCCAGTTGATGGACCTTGTCCTTTTTGCCTTTTTTTTTTTTCTTTTTATTTTGAAATTGTTTAGGTCTATAGAATAAGTACCTAAGTACAAAAAGTTTTTTTTTTTTTGGAGAGGTTTTCGCTATAGGGTGTGTGCGCTCGCCAGACAGACAGAGAGAGACATAGAGACAGAAAGTGAGAAATCACCCCCCAAGGGGATGGTCATGCCGCAATCCCTTCTCCTCCATTCTCCTCCCGGGATCTTGGGCACGCACGCACACACGCCCGGCGAGAGTTTTAAGCCACCGGGTCCGGGACGCAAACCGCGGTCGACTATGTGGGAGTCCAGCGACATAGCCATTACGCTAACTGCTGGTTCCTAGTACAAAAAGTTTTTATAGATGCTTCCTCCAGCTTCTCCTAATATAACATCTCGTATGGCCATTGTACAACGATCAACTCTTAAAAATTAATGCTGATATAATAATAATTATTATTAGGTTTTTGCCATAGGGCATGTGCACTCACCAGAGAGAGACAGAGAAAAAGGGAGAAGTCACCTCCCAGGAGGAATGGCCACACCGCAAACCCTTCTCCATTCTCCTCTCAGGATTTTGGGCATGTACACACACCTGTCCAGTGTGATTTTCAACCTGCCTGATCCAGGACGTGAACCAGGTCAACCATGTGGAAGTCCAGCACCTTAACCACTATGCCACCTGCTGGCCCCTGATATAATATTATTAACCAAGCTACAGACTTGATTCTGATTTTTGCTCTTGCGTTGCGCTTAGCTGTCTTATTCCTCTAGTCTCCTCCAACTCAACAGTTCCTCAGTTGTTCTGTGTCTTGCACGATCTCAATGCGTTTTAAGCGAGTTCTTGTTTGGGTATTCTGTAGGATGCTCCCCAGCTTGTCTGATGACAGGACTGCCGTTATAGATTTTTGGGACGACTACCACAGAGGTGATGTACTGTCTCACATCACACCAGGAGCCACACCATGCCTCGTGTCTTATTACTTGCAAAGTCAACCCCGATCATTTGCGTAAGGTAGCATCTGCCGGTTTCTCCCCTGTAAAGTTACTGTTTTCTTTTCTGTACCTGTGACGAGCAAATTATTGCTGCTTAAATTCTGATGTATGTCAGTGTGCATGGGACACATAACAGATACGTCTTCTGCCCTAATTACAATAATAATAGAAGGAGCCAGAGCCATCCAAATTTACTCTTAGCGTTTTTTTTTTTCCTTTTTCTTTTTATGAGAGACAGACAAAAGGACAGACACAAGCACCCTCAGTATGATCTCATGCCACGATCCTCCCCTCAGCCTGCCAGGATGTGCCTGGCATGTACAGGTCGGCCTGGGAGCCAAAACCCATCGTCCACATGGCTTACCACATTGCAGAGCTGGGCTGCTGTGCTAGCATGGCTGGGCTGAAGGCTGCCATGAGCCATGTGCCATGTGGTTGTCATCAGACCTGAGGCTGGGGCTGCTCCCATTCTTTGCCAGAGAAAACAAGCATACCCCTGCACTGGACAATTTTCTCTTGTTCTGTCTTTGAGACATCATTTTTTTTTTTTTTTGCTGTTGTTTTTATTCTCAGGAATATTTCTTGTGTTACTAAAGACTTTAGTAAGCTACACATGACAATAATAGTATATTACAATCTTGGAGAAATCTAGAAGGCTTTGGGGAACATTAAGGATCTATTTTTGGATTTCTTTCAGAAATCTGACTGAAGGGTAAGGCAGAACATTCTGAATAGAAGGCTGCTTCTGGAGAATTTTTAGAGGAGGATTATTTACTTAAAGGAAGACACTGAGCCGTTTCCTTCCTGGATTTTAGCAGCCACCTCTAACAGGGTGTCTGTATTTGTGTGTCTAAACCCCACCCCCCTTCATTTTCGTTGACCGCGCTAATGACTTTTCTACGACACAGGCAGATGTGTCTCCGAATAGCCTGACTCAGGGGATGAGTGGTGCATGTGATGACTCAGTTTCTACGATGCCCTGTTCTAGTAGCAGTGGGCCACTGGAGGTCAGGCAGTGTGGGTGGACTTCTGCACATCTTCCCCGTGACTCACTCGGCAGCCTGCCTTTCTACGGGGAAAAGCTGTAGGTGGCTGCAAAGCTATATTTACCTCCTCTCTTCCCTAATCATACGACGTCTCACACCCCCCTTACATCCTTGCAATTGCAGTTAGATGTCTTGATATATCTCATCTTCCAAGCTGTCTGGATATCAGTGAATGTATTTCTATGAATGTATTTATTTTACTCAAGTGAGATCAGACTACGTCTCGTAGCTCCCTTTGTCATTTGACAGTGGAGCTGAAGGACTTTCTGTGTCACAAGGTGTCCACTGACAAGATTGTTTGGCTATCTCCCAGTGGTGGGTGCTGTGCCTGGTTCCCCTTCTCTCTCTACAGCATCCAGGACAGGCTGCTCTTGTCGCTGCAGAACATTAGATGAGCCAGGGCCAGCAGGTGGTGTGGTGGTGAAGGTGCTGAACTCTCATGTGGCCGACCATGGTTCAAGTCCAACACCTAGCGACTTGCTTTCTCAACATTCCATTTCTCTCTCTCTCTCTTTCTCTGTTTCTCTCTAGTCAAATTAAAAAATGATGTTAAATAAAATTAAATAATTTTTTAAAAAAGAGAGAGAGAGAACTCACGCCTCCCTCAGGCATTTTCTAGTTAACCTTCCATTCTGCAGATGGAATAGTTGAGGCCCAGTCACTATAGTTGTTAAAAATAAAGCCTTTTAGGAAAAGCCTGTGGCCTGGTGGTTAAGGCAGCTGTAACGCACATGGCTGACCAGATGGCTCATGTCCTGGACCTGGCGGCTTGAAAAACATGTCAGGTGTGTGTGCAAGCATTCCCAAATCCTGGAAGGGGGGGTGAAATGAAGGCGTGGGGCCTGACCGTGCTTCATGGGGGTGCTTTCTTACTTTCCCTTTTCCTCTCTGTGCCTTCCTCCTCGCTCCAGTTTATAGACTCTGCCAAATTAAAAATATAAATAAATAAAGCTTTTTGTTTTTACATGTGCGTTGTATGCCTGGCAGTACTTGTCAGGGTCCACAGCTTGTGCAAGAGACTGCTCGTCACCCAAAGCCTAGAGAGCGGAACAGCTCATCTAGAGAAGCATACGATACACGCTGTAGGATTTGTGCCCTGGTAAGATGACTGTTGGCCTCAGTCCGATGCTCGCTGACAGTAACTGCAAGGCTTTCTAAGTTATTTGGGGAGTTGATAAGAGAGGGCAAGTTTATAGGTATCTGGATCTGGCCTTGGGGTTTTCTACATATCCATTTTAGAGAAAATACTAAATGTATGAAAATATAAGGAAGAAAGTGAAAGTGGCCTATTTCTACCACCAGAAAAAGCCACTGTTGTATTTTGGCATAATTTTCTTCTTCCTTCCTTCCTTCCCTCCTTCCTTCCTTCCTTCCACTCCCTTTTATCTTACACAGCAAATGTATTTGTAAGCTTGCGTTTTCATACAGCACTGTATCAAAGATTTTAAAAATATCATTTAAGGGCCAGCAGGTGGTGTAGTGGTTGGGGTGCTGGACTCCCACATGGCTGACTGTGGTTCGAGTCCTGGACCTGGCAGCTTGCTTTCTCACTTTCTCTCTCTCTCTCTGTCCCTCTCTGGCCAAATTAAAATAAATAAATAAATAAATAAATAAAGTTAAATGTAATAATTCTAAAAATATATATAAAATTAACTAAGTCAAAAATATCAGTTAAAGCAAAGATAGCAACTTTTTTTTCCCCTTTGGAGAGGTGGTTTTTTTTTTTTTTTTTTTTTTTTTTTTTTTTTTTTTATGGTTGCTGCCCCCGCCACAAGGCAAGAGAGACAGAGAGACAGAAAGTGAGAAATCACCCCCCAGGTGGGATGGTCACGCCACAATCCCTTCTCCTCCATTCTCCTCTCGGGATCTTGGGCACATACGCACACACGCCCGGCTTGAGTTTAAGCCTCCGGGTCCAGGACTCGAACTGCGGTTGACTACGTGGGAGTCCAGCGACATAGCCATTATGCTAACTGCTGGTCCCAAGATAGCTAATTTGATAGGAAAAATAGTTTAATTTTTATTCTCTTTTAAAAAATAATTATGAATTAAAAAATTATTTCTTAATTTGCTATAGGACACTTGTGCTCACCAGAGTGAGATAGGTGGAGTTGTCGGGAGAATGAGAAAGCAAGCCGGCAGATTTGGGGCTCGAATCCCAGTTGACCATGTAGGAGTCCAGGGCCCCAACCACCATGCCACCTGCTGGCTCCAATTTTTATTCTCTTAATAGGTTAGGGAGGTTACCATTCTTGTATGCTGACTATTCATGTTTGCCCACAGTAGTTGTATTATTCCATACCTTTCTGTAAGGCTGAAATGTTGCTAAAGCAAGCCTCTGATTTCAGATGTCCTAAACGATGCCATATTTGATGAAGATCATGATGAAATGGTCATTGTGAAGGACATAGACATGTTTTCCATGTGTGAACATCATCTGGTGCCATTTGTTGGGAAGGTAAGATGTTCCTTGTTGTTTCCTAACCATTTAAAAAGGCATAGCAAATGTTTCAATATCAGTCTGGCTATATTTAGAATTGTCAGCTGCTGACTCTAACATCCTAGATATATACAATGACACATAAATGTTTATAAATGTTTATTCTTTATCCTACTGAGTAATCTAATAACTTGAAACAAAGTAGCAGAAGGCCCTCAGGGCAGGCCTTTTGTACTGAATACCATGTTAATACCATGTTGATAGGTTAAAATAATGAGGTTAAAGTAGCATCTTTTGTTTAAGGTAACTGCTGCCATCTCTAAAACCTTTGTCCTTTATTTTGACTAAATAATGTTTGATCCAAGATAATATGAATATAGGATGTGACATGAGCAGTAATGATTATAGAATTTCTGTGACAGAGGTTATGGTCCTAGTGGATTTAATTTGTTTTTAGCCATCCCCTCTCTTTAAAGTTTATTTCTTTTCTCTAGTTTTTTTCTTTTAGAGCGAGATTTTTGCTACAGGGCATGTGCGCTCACCCAAGACACAGAGAGACAAAAAATGAGTAATCACCCCCTGGGGAGATGGCCACAAGACAACCCCTTCTCCTCTATTCTCCTTTCTGGATCTTGAGCACACACGCACACACGCCGGGCGTGAGTTTTAAGTCTCCAGGTCTGGGACTCGAACAGCGGTGAACTGCGTGGGAGCTCAGTGATGTAACTGTTGGTCCTAAAGTTTATTTATTTTTTTCTATGAGCATATGTGAGCGAGAATACTCCCAATAGGTCTTGACACTGCTCCGTCCCTAGCTGCAGCCAGCCCCCAGTCTGGGCACTTGCATGCCTGTTGTTACTTAAAGAGGTCTCTGGAGGCGAACCCGGAACCTTCCGTTGTGGGTCAGCCTCACAGAGTGTTGCTTTTTTTAAAAATATGTTTTAAAAAAGAATTATTTCATTTATTATTAGTAGTAGTATTTGTAATTTGCTATAGAACACCTGTGCTTACCAGAGAAAGAAAGAGAGAAAGAGAGGGAAAGTGAGAAAGTAAGCTTCCAGGTCCAGGACTCAAACCACAGTCGGCCATGTGGGAGTCCAGCGCCCTAACCACTATACACCTGCTGGTCCTACTTTTTTTTTTTCTTAAGGTTTTTGCCATAAAACATGTGCACTTGCCAGCAAGAGATAGACAGAAGGAAAGTGAGAAATAACTCCCCAGGGAGGATGGCCATGCTGCAGTCTTTTCTTCTCCATTCTCCTCTTGGGATTTTGAGTATGCACACACATGCCCAGCATGATTTTGAAGCCTCTGGGTCTGAGACTTGAACCATGGGCTCCATGGTGGGATTCTTAAGGCATGGAGGAATCTAGCGCCTTCACCACCACACCTGATGGCCCCTGAAGTGTTGCATTTTAACACCGTGCCACTGTCTGGCTCCTCCAACCCTTCCCATATTCGGAAAAAATGAATCTAATACTTGTTCAGCCTGCCTGTGAGAACATGTGGGTTAAGGCAAAGAGTTGCCCGGTTTCTCTCATCAACCCAATAGGAATATAAACGTGGGGCTTAATCGGATTATCAGCTTTTTAAAAAGCAAATGCTATAAATGTATCTTGTCTTCCTTATGATGTTATAATAGCATCTTCTTCTCTCTAGCTCACGTTATGGTAAAAAACAAAAGTAGATAATGTGTCTAACATACAAAATGTGTTTATGTTACTGGTAAAGCTTCCAATCAACAGCAAGCTATTCGGGGCTAAGTTTTTAAGGAGTGAGAAGTGGTAAGTGGGGGACCAGGTGGTGGCACAGTAAATACGATGGTCTGTGAGGCTGACCGACTCGGGAGAGTTTGGGTTTGTGTCCAGAGACCTCTCTGCATATGCCAGGCATTCACGTGATCCGGGGCTGGATGAGGAGAGGGGCAGATTATATCAAGACCCTGTTTGGGAGTGCTGTCTCTCTCTCTGTCTCTTTTGCTCATAGAGGAAATAAATAAATAAAGCTTAAATAACAAAAGCAGACAGGGCAAGAACTAAGAATCGTTTTGGGGGAAAAAGGTTACATGAAGATTTTTGACTTGGTGGGGGACGATGTCAGTGCCCTTAGTCCCCGTGACAGTTAATTGCACTATAGATTAATTATACAAGTGTACAGGCAATGTGAGGTGAACAAATAAAACAGCATTGGCAATCTGTGATACAGATGAGTCTCAGATTTAATTGATTTGTAGATGAATTGCCTGCAAATGACCATTCACTTAATTAGCATTTTTAGAGAACTAATGTTTTCTCCACTTTAATACTTGGCTCAAAAAGAGGTGAGTAACTTGACATGTTAAATACTAATTGGTATCTTTTAAGATGGTAGCAATGGTTTTGCCTACAGCAGGTCTCGTAGAAACTGTCCTCTTGGACAGCCATAGTAGTGGCTGTGTCCTCTTCCTTCTGTCGGGAACGTGGAACTGGCCAGTAGCTTAGAAATGAGACAAGAGAGCCCGGACACCCTCCATACCGTCGGGCTCTGTGATGAGATTCTTAAGGCCACTGGGAGCCGTGGAGTGGCATCCTTTAGATTTACGATTTCTGCCATTTAAAGAAGGCCATCCTGGATCCTACTTTTTTTTTTTTTTTGAAGAGGTTTTTGCTATAGGGTGTGTGCACTCACCAGACAGACAGAGACAGAGAGACAGAAAGCGCGAAATCAACCACCAGGGGGGATGGCCACGCCGCAATCCCTTCTCCTCCATTCTCCTCTCGGGATCTTGGGCACGCATGCACATGCGCCCGGCGTGAGTTTCAGCCACCGGGTCCAGGATGTAAACTGCGGTCGACTACATGGGAGTCCAGCGACATAGCCATTACGCTAACTGCTGGTCCCCTGGATCCATTTTAATGTGATTACTAAAGCACTTGCCCTTTCTCAACACTTTCTTTGCAACAGAGGAAGCCTTTTCAGCTTGTATCAAGAGTTTAACATCACAGGGAAATATCATACTGTAAGTTCACCATTTATTTTTTAAAAAGAATTATTTTATTTAGTATTTATTTATTTATTTATTTATTTTCATTTTACCAGAGAGGAACAGAGAGAGAGAGAGAAGAAAAGTGACAAAGCAAGCTGCCAGGTCCAGGACTTGAACCATGGTCAGCCATGTTGGAGTCCAGTGCCCTTAACCTCCATGCCACCTGCCAGCCCCAAGTTTGCCATTTATTAATAGAGTCATTATTACATGTTTTCCTTCTGCTGCATTCTATAATTAAAAAAACAAAACAAAACAAAACTATGTAAGTGCTTCATTTTCTGCCTTAAAGTTTCCAGATGGTTTAAAGGTGTTGTCACTGTGAATTACATATAAATACACTATATTTTTCCTATATGTCTTTTTAAAAGAGAGTTATTTTATTTATTATTATTATTTAAGAGAGATGGGCAGGAGGAGTGAGCACGCAAGCCACAGGTCTGGGACTCAGAACCACATTTGGGCATTGTGGGGAGTGCACTGCCATAACCGCCACGCCACCCGCCAGCCCTTCTATATGTGATTAGACTGCCACAAAGAAGCTCTGTATTTTCACCTGGCTCCTGTGATTTCTGTCTCTTCTCTGAAGGTCCATATTGGTTATCTTCCCAACAAGCAAGTCCTGGGCCTCAGCAAACTTGCAAGGTAAGTACGGCTGAGTTCTGCAAAGGAAAATGGGCGCCTATGACCTGCCCCTGTGTGCTGAGACGCTATCAGGCTTCGTCTTCACCAGCATGGCTCTAACTTGGAAGTCACCTTGCGACCTAAAGATTTTAGTTGCAGAGGCAAACCGATTTAGAGGGCTTGAACCCAGCGCACCTGTCTCCTCATCCCCCTTTGCCTATCTCCCTCCCACTTCCCATCCCCCTTCCATAGGCACATCCTTGTAGTCTCAATCCACATTTTCTGTAGAGCTTTCCCCAACTAGAGAGCACTCGCGGTTACCTATGGTCTAGCCTTGTCCTTTAAGGAGGATTTCTTTAATTAATAGTGAGGAGTAAGAGAGGAAATGTGGGCAGGGGTTCTAATTGCACTGTCTTTAGACTTAACTGAACCTCCAAGTGGTGTCCATGGCCTCGACTCTGCTATCTGTAGCTGGCTTCCTCCAGGCATCATGGTGGGGTCCTGCTGGCCAGCCAGCTCACCTCTAGGCTCTTTGTCTCTGCAGACACAGCACTGCTCGGCTTTGCTCAGCTCAGTTGCGAGACTATCTCTCTTCTATGTGTCTCTTCTGTTACAGCTGCCTTTTATGTTCTTTATCCTGTGTGTGGATTCATGCCTTAAAAAAATTCCTTTGCTGTCATTTTTATTTGGGCTTTAGGAAGCAGAAGTGATGTACGTGTGTGGTATCCATGTTTAACTGGAAGTTAGCGTGTGCTGTCAGCCAAAACAAATGGCCATAAGAGGGCAGATTTCAGAGTCATCACACACAGAGTATCATCAGAATGTTAGAAAGTAAGAGTCTAGAAGCTTCAAAAATTAGCCAGAACATTGGAAAAAGTGCCAGATGCAGTCATTCCTCAGTGTCTGGAGTGTCCTCATTCCAAGACCCTCATAGATACCAAAAGCTGGAGATGCCCAAGGTCCTTCTATAAAATGGCTCAGTATTTGCATATAACCTTGAACCTCCTCCCATACTTAAAATCATCTCTAGATTCCTTATACTACATGCCACAATGGAAATGCTGTGTAAATAATTGTGATACTATTTTGTTTAGGGAATAATGACAAAGGTTTGTGAGTGTTCAGTATAGACACGGCCATTGCAGGCCTAACTACACAGTGCATGTTAGCAACGACAACGTTTTCCACAGTCGATGGAATCTATAGAGGCAGAATCTGTAGGATAGGGAGGGCCAACCATATTACTTCTGGAAATTAAAATAAAATATGAAATGGAAACCCAGTACACCTATTAAATAGCAGATTAGGCACAGTTGAAAATACTATAGTGTCTGGAAAGAAAGGTCCGAAGAAATTGTACAGAATGGCACACAGAAACTGGTAGAAAGGCGTCATCTTATTTATTTCCTTTTCTAGTGAAAGGAAAATATCTCAAATAATTAAGCTTTTATGAATCAATACAAAGGAGTTGATTATTAGCACAGGGATTAGCAAATACTAATAGGATTAAAATTTAAGAATAAAATGGAACACTAAGCCAAAACACTGAGTGTATGTTACTTTCAGAAATTCTATAAAAAATCTGAATAAAGGGTCTGTTAAACAGAAAAGAAGACTAAGATTTTATACAACTGCTTATTCCTTATAAGAAGTGGGAACGTTTGGGGAACAGAGAGCAATAAAGAAGTCCAAGTGTCTTGGTAAAACTTCGCTGCTCGTTTTCATCTTGTATGTGAAGTTTGTTATATGCTTGCCTTTAGACGGATGACCTTTCACTGCCAGTGAAGTCAAATATCACACCGTAAAACCTTAAGTAACGAGAAAATGCCAGAAGTGAGTAGATCTGGTTCAGCTCTAGTAGAATTGTACAGTAAACTTAGTTTGAATGGAAATTCCTTTTGTCGTTGAAAGGCCATTGAACACCTTTTGGTTTTCTTGCCTTAGAATAATGGAGTGAACATAATTAAATCTTGTATTTAGAACCTGAGTGCCTCACGGTCACCAAGACGGATCTGTCTTCTGAGCATCTTCTGTGGCAGGGCACTGTCCTGCCTGCTGTGGCAGCTGGAGAGGACAGCAGGAGGTAGCAGGTGCTTCAGAGGTGCCTGCTGCAGAGCCCCAAGTTCAGAAAAGTCACGGTGGCTGTGGCCTGAGAGGGTTGGAGAGACCCAGAGGTGGAAGGATGAGCAGAATTTGAAATTGGGGAGAAGTCCCTTTACGAATAGTTGATGTGTGAACAAAGGCGAACAGGGCAAGAGAAGGCATATTCCAGTAGATGGGATCCAAGTGATTGGTGGAGATTGGATATTTAGACAAGGGTGACAGGGAGATAGTTTGAAAAATTGGGGCTGACAGGTGGCGTGGTGGTTGAGGCACTGGACTCCCACATGGCCGACCATGGTTTGAGTCCCGGACTTGGCAGCTTGCTTTCTCACTTTCTCTATGTTTTTTTTCTCTGGTAAAATTAAAAAATAAATGAGTAAATAAGTAAAATTTTAAAAAGAAAAAGAAAAGCATGGTGGGTTTTGGAATACAGAGGGAGCATCCTGTTTTTCTCTTTATATGTAAAATAATAAACTTACCAGTTCAATACAAACAAATGAATTAAGTGGAAGCTTTTATTTCCATTTCCTATGTTAGAGATTTATTTCACTAAATTTTAAAAATTTCAGTGCAAACATAAACATATGACTCTTTAAAATTAGCAAAACAAAAAAGAGAGGTCATATCATACCTTGTATTCTCTACTACAAGTTGCTTTTTTTTTTTTTTGGAGAGATTTTCACTGTAGGGCGCGTGCGCTCGCCAGACAGACAGAGAGAGACATAGAGACAGAAAGCGAGAAATCACCCCCTCAGCCAGCTCACCTCTAGGCTCTTTGTCTCTGCAGACACAGCACTGCTCGGCTTTGCTCAGCTCAGTTGCGAGACTATCTCTCTTCTATGTGTCTCTTCTGTTACAGCTGCCTTTTATGTTCTTTATCCTGTGTGTGGATTCATGCCTTAAAAAAATTCCTTTGCTGTCATTTTTATTTGGGCTTTAGGAAGCAGAAGTGATGTACGTGTGTGGTATCCATGTTTAACTGGAAGTTAGCGTGTGCTGTCAGCCAAAACAAATGGCCATAAGAGGGCAGATTTCAGAGTCATCACACACAGAGTATCATCAGAATGTTAGAAAGTAAGAGTCTAGAAGCTTCAAAAATTAGCCAGAACATTGGAAAAAGTGCCAGATGCAGTCATTCCTCAGTGTCTGGAGTGTCCTCATTCCAAGACCCTCATAGATACCAAAAGCTGGAGATGCCCAAGGTCCTTCTATAAAATGGCTCAGTATTTGCATATAACCTTGAACCTCCTCCCATACTTAAAATCATCTCTAGATTCCTTATACTACATGCCACAATGGAAATGCTGTGTAAATAATTGTGATACTATTTTGTTTAGGGAATAATGACAAAGGTTTGTGAGTGTTCAGTATAGACACGGCCATTGCAGGCCTAACTACACAGTGCATGTTAGCAACGACAACGTTTTCCACAGTCGATGGAATCTATAGAGGCAGAATCTGTAGGATAGGGAGGGCCAACCATATTACTTCTGGAAATTAAAATAAAATATGAAATGGAAACCCAGTACACCTATTAAATAGCAGATTAGGCACAGTTGAAAATACTATAGTGTCTGGAAAGAAAGGTCCGAAGAAATTGTACAGAATGGCACACAGAAACTGGTAGAAAGGCGTCATCTTATTTATTTCCTTTTCTAGTGAAAGGAAAATATCTCAAATAATTAAGCTTTTATGAATCAATACAAAGGAGTTGATTATTAGCACAGGGATTAGCAAATACTAATAGGATTAAAATTTAAGAATAAAATGGAACACTAAGCCAAAACACTGAGTGTATGTTACTTTCAGAAATTCTATAAAAAATCTGAATAAAGGGTCTGTTAAACAGAAAAGAAGACTAAGATTTTATACAACTGCTTATTCCTTATAAGAAGTGGGAACGTTTGGGGAACAGAGAGCAATAAAGAAGTCCAAGTGTCTTGGTAAAACTTCGCTGCTCGTTTTCATCTTGTATGTGAAGTTTGTTATATGCTTGCCTTTAGACGGATGACCTTTCACTGCCAGTGAAGTCAAATATCACACCGTAAAACCTTAAGTAACGAGAAAATGCCAGAAGTGAGTAGATCTGGTTCAGCTCTAGTAGAATTGTACAGTAAACTTAGTTTGAATGGAAATTCCTTTTGTCGTTGAAAGGCCATTGAACACCTTTTGGTTTTCTTGCCTTAGAATAATGGAGTGAACATAATTAAATCTTGTATTTAGAACCTGAGTGCCTCACGGTCACCAAGACGGATCTGTCTTCTGAGCATCTTCTGTGGCAGGGCACTGTCCTGCCTGCTGTGGCAGCTGGAGAGGACAGCAGGAGGTAGCAGGTGCTTCAGAGGTGCCTGCTGCAGAGCCCCAAGTTCAGAAAAGTCACGGTGGCTGTGGCCTGAGAGGGTTGGAGAGACCCAGAGGTGGAAGGATGAGCAGAATTTGAAATTGGGGAGAAGTCCCTTTACGAATAGTTGATGTGTGAACAAAGGCGAACAGGGCAAGAGAAGGCATATTCCAGTAGATGGGATCCAAGTGATTGGTGGAGATTGGATATTTAGACAAGGGTGACAGGGAGATAGTTTGAAAAATTGGGGCTGACAGGTGGCGTGGTGGTTGAGGCACTGGACTCCCACATGGCCGACCATGGTTTGAGTCCCGGACTTGGCAGCTTGCTTTCTCACTTTCTCTATGTTTTTTTTCTCTGGTAAAATTAAAAAATAAATGAGTAAATAAGTAAAATTTTAAAAAGAAAAAGAAAAGCATGGTGGGTTTTGGAATACAGAGGGAGCATCCTGTTTTTCTCTTTATATGTAAAATAATAAACTTACCAGTTCAATACAAACAAATGAATTAAGTGGAAGCTTTTATTTCCATTTCCTATGTTAGAGATTTATTTCACTAAATTTTAAAAATTTCAGTGC